GGAGGCCGGCCCGGGAAGAGCGGGTCTTGGCCTTGGCTCGGGTCTTGCCGCCGGTCTTTCCTCGTCCAGACATTTCCTGGATTGTTGCGATTCGACTGAGATGAGAGAGATGAGCCGCAGAGAGAGCAGCTGAGTATATACACACCTCCAGCTGCTCGCTCATTGGTCACGAGCAGCGGTAGTGCACTCCTCCAATCACAGAGGGCTTCCGCTTGGTGCGGAAGTTACAGTGAGCGGAAGTTACGCGCTGGAGGCTCAGTCATCAACAACCAGAAGGAAGAGGAAGAGGAAGAGAAGCTAAATACAATAAAAACCATCGCGTCAGTTTTTACTAAATGACTCAGAGATGAGATGTTTCTACGTCATGTCGCCGCGGTGAGTCAATAACGACTCGATTCTTCTTCAGGGTTCATCTCACGATCTTTTCTTCGTGTGGAGGAAACAGGTTTGATCTGATGTTAGCAACAAGCTAACGAAGCTACACAGACTTCAGGATGAATTGCACCGAGCTGTGATGAGGTCAGACTTCTGTCGTAGCTTCATGTTTGTGCATCAGTTCACAAACCCTCTGATTTTGATAACGGTGGTTTAACGGAGGCGTCAGATAAAATCCTCCAGATCTCAAAGAACTGACACATGCATTGAGTCAGTCACTTGTTTATTGTTGAGCCGAAGACAGCTGGACAGGAAAGTTGTTTTATTGTGTGTTATTAAATGTTTAAATGTAACATGAACTTTGCAGAAACTCTCATTTGTTTCATGTGAATCAATTGAAATATAAACATGTAGCTCCGACTCTGACTCTGCAGTCGACGATGGACGAAGTGAACGTGGTGTTTGCAGCTGTTTCGAGGACGTCTGCTGCTTCCTGCGCGACCTGCTCATCACGACGCTCAGCTGGCTGCTTCACTTCCTGTCCGGCGTCTGCGTTTCCCTCCGCAGCACCATGGCCGGTCTGAGCAGCTCCACTCTGGTTGAATACTGGAACTTTGCCCTTTTCTCCTTTCTCACCGCCAGCGAGGCCGTCTGCAGCGCCGCCCACGGTGCCCTGCACGCCATGGAGGACTGGCTGCAGATGCTGGGAGGAGTGTTGGAGAGTTTCAAGATGGTGGGACACCTCTTTTGTCACATGGCGTGGCGCATGAAGGACATGCTGCACCGCGGGTTTGTGTTAGCGTGCTGCATTCTACGACAGACCTGTGAGGGCATCCTCATTGCACTCAGCCTCATTCTTTACTTTGTCAACACCATGGTCAACGTCATGCTCATCAGCACACAGAACTGTCTGTCTGTGTTGGCGGGCGTCTGGGAGACTATTGCGGGCCCTGTCCACAAAGTCGTGGACCTGGCGCTGACTCTGCTGACCTTCCTGTACAGCTGTCTGGTCGGTGCGTCTGTGCTGCTGTGGACGCCCTGCCAGCTGCTGCTGGACTTCCTTGAAGCGCTTGGACGTGTTTTCATCACTGTCTTCGTGGTCGACTCACACGGGCTGCTCGCCACAGTTGCCATTATCTCACTGACTTTACTGGTGTTGAACCCCAGACTTCGTGTACTCGCTGGTCAGCTGAGCCTGCGTTTGGTCAATGCTCTGCCGGGAGTTCAAGGTGTTCAGGCGACCGTGCGCAGGCTGTACGCAGTGATGGTGGAGCCAGCTCTGGCCCATCGGGCGGTCCACTCCAGGACAGCAGAGGACCTGAGTAGAATGAGGCTCTTGAACACAGACGCAGGTGGTTTAACTTCAGAGGCCGACCCGCCACAAGCAAATGTGCCGAGTCAGCCGGACACGGTGCAGCTTCTCGCTCAGCAGGACGGCCACCCGGTGAGCAGCAGCATGGCGAGCACGTCTCAGTCGAACTCTGCTGCGGAGGACGGGGAGCTGCTCCACCTGCTGAATGAGCAGGAGGAGAGGAAGAAGTGTGTCATCTGTCACGACTTCAACAAGACGGTGCTGCTGCTGCCCTGCCGCCACCTCTGCCTCTGCCGTCACTGCGCCGACATCCTGACAGAACGCCGACATGTACAGCAGCGCTGCTGTCCGCTCTGCCGGCAGAACATCACACAGACTTTAGACGTCTTCCTCTGACGGGTCGCCAACCTCAACGTGAACATGAACCACAAACTGCAGCAAATGAGAGAACAGCAGATTTATTGTTCATTTCTCTCAACTTCCTGTTTGTTTTCTCCTTGAAGGTGAATTTAAAACTTTTGTGTTTGAGACCAAATGAGAAACTTGAATGTGTTCATTCTGGATTCATGAAACTGTGACTAACAGTTTCAACTTTTCAGAAACAGTAGAATTCATGTTCAGGGATATTTTCATCTGTATCGTTGTTATTTATCTTGATGAGAGTTTATCTTCAGCTGGTAGAAACCAGGACAAGAGAGTTATTCTGAAAGTGTCAAAGTTCACATCCGTTAAACTCACTGCTCCTTATTCACACTGGATTCATTCAGAATTAAAGAATGATTGTTTTTTACATTTGCTTGTTTTTTGTTTTTAATAATTTTTTTTAAAGAAATGAAAGTTTTCTGACTGAATATCTGCTCACAATGTTTAACCAACACATCTTACTCTCTTTAGTAGACGACACCTGCAGATGAACAACTTGAATATTTGACCCATTGAATTCGGACTTTATTGTTTTTTCTTCGCTTAATGTGAAAGTTTCTAATATTTGGTTTTGTTCTTATTCTTATGAATCCACAAAACATTCTCCAGGTGAGTTCTAAGCACAAGATGGAAGAAACAATAAATTAATTAATTAAAGCTAGTACACAAAAAAAATGCTGCTTTTCAGTTGTGAAGATTTTCTGATTCAGATGGACGTGTTTGTGGTTCATCCTCTGGGGATCATGAACGCCTGTACTGAACATTATGTCTATTTATTCCAGTTATTTTGACAAACAGACCAAAGTCACAACTGACAAACTGAGATTAATAAACACAAAGTCATGATGTTTGCTTGACTGTGAAGACGAATAAGATTCATTTCAAATAGTTTGTTAATAGATAATTTAGATGACAAAAATCACAAAAACAAGATTATTAAACTTTAAAGTGTGGACTCACATTTCATGTGTGAGTGAGAGAGAGAGAGAGAGTGTGTGTGTGAGAGAGAGTGTCTTCAGAGGAGACGTTCTCAGAAATACTTTTTCCATCATGAAGGTCTGTCATGGGGATGATTAGTCACGGTTCGTTAGGTTTCTGTTCTGTGACAAACAATCTGCTACAAGAGCTCAGTCAGCACAACTATGACACCCATTAACCTGTGTGTGTGTGTGTGTGTGTGTGTGTGTGTGTGTGTGTGTGCGCTGCACCAACAGTCTCTTCAAGTCAATCAAGCTGCATCAAACCACACAAACTCACAAGTATCAGTCCTTTAAATGTCACATCCAGACATGACTATTGTAATCCCTTATTATCAGGCTCCAGCAGTGAGTCGTTAGAGACTCTGCAGTTTGTCCAAAATGCTGCAGCACGCGTCCTGACAAGAACCAGGAACAGAGACCACACGTCTCCTGTGTTAGCTTCACTACACTGGCTTCCTGTTACATCGAGAATACATTAATAATATGGCACCATCATACCTTAAAGAGCTCAAAGTACCATATCACCACTAGAGCCCTGTGCTCCCAGAAGTCAGACTTACTTGTTGTCCCTAAAGTCTCTAAAAGTAGAGGAGGAGCCAGAGCTTTCAGCATCAGGCTCAGTGTTTAAGAGTCGGCTTTAAACCTTCCTTTATGATAAATCTTATAGTCTAGAGTTCTGCTGCTGTAGCTTTAGAATGAAAACGAACCTGTGGCAGCTGCAGTCGTCATAAAAACTCAAAAGTGTTTAGTTTGTTCAGTCTGGACTAATGTAAAAAACATGGAGGCCTCTGTAGAGAGGGTCCCCTCCATGTTAATATAAAGTATTTAAATATAAAGTATTTAAATATAAAGGACCTTTTCTGGACTAATGAAAACTACAATTCATACAATTTAAATGAAATGAACCAGTGAAAACATCATGAGGATTATTCTACATTCAATTTCTGCCAATAGATCCTTTCACCTCAATCTTACACACTGGAGCTTTAAATCATTCACGTTCCATCAAGCTTCAAACTGTTTCCTCTAACCAGTGATGTAACTACTCTTATTATTATATCTGATGTTCTCAGTTACACGTGGCGTCTACTGCACTCGTGTCCGTCCTGGGAGACGGATCCTCACGTGTCTCTGAGGTTTCCATTTTATTTTTCCCTGTTAAAAGGGTTTTTAGTAGTTTCACTCTTGAGTACAGAACAGATGATGTCACAGCTCGTTAAAGAGACAAATTGTGATTTGTGAATATGGGATGATTCTCTGAGTGAAAGTGTTAAAAACGGTTTATCTCACAATGACACAGACATAAATCCTGGATAAAGTTTCTCAGATACGTCACAGATTCACTGACACCATTTATCCTCATTTCACTCTTTGACTTTGATGACGTTTTTCATCCTTTCATCCTCAGTAACAGCCGAGCGGAGCCGCTGATCATCAGGATCTGAGATGATCAGATCATGTCGGGTCATTAACTCTGTTTGTTTTACTAAGTGTTGAAGTCGCTCAATCAGAAGAAACTCTGTCACTTATTCAGCTAATGACACACACACACACACACACACACACACACACACACCGGTGGGCGTGTCCAGGTGGAGGTGATGGACTATAAAAGCAGAGGAGACCATCTCCTCTTCCTCACATCATCCTGATCTCAGCTTCCCTCCTCCTCCTCTTCATCTTCACAGACTCACCTCCTCCTCCTCAACAGGTAAAGTCTTCTCCTCCTTTCATCCTCCTCCATCTTATGTCCTTCAACTCTACTCTCAACCTGTGTCTTTCACTTCTCTACTTACTCCTGTCTTCACCTCCTCTGTCTTCATCTCCCCTGTCTTCACCTCCTCCTCCATCTGTGACTCCAGCTCAACAGGTAGACATTATCTCTTTCTTCTCCTCCATCTCCTTCATCTCCTCACCACCCGTCTTCCTCTTCCACCTGTCGTTTTTTCCTCCTTTTCTACTTCTCTAAATGATCATTTGTCTTCACCTCCTCTCCTCCTCCTCCACATGGTCTCATTCTTTTCCTCCATCATATCTATACTTCTATTTACACCTCTATCTTCTCCTGACTCTATGTGAGTTTTCTCCTCCTCTGTTTTGTGTTTCTTCTTCATTCCCGACATTCTCACTTCGTCTTTGTCCTTTGCTTCTCCTCGTCTTTGGTCATTTTATATTACGTGTCTGTGTGTGTGTGTATTCCTGTGATTTAACAAAGTCAAATAATTTAAAACATCTTCACTGATGTATTCATGTAAAAACTCGAGGTCAGTTCAAAGTCAGCTGATTTAGATTTGAAAAATAATAATTCAAATGAAGAATAGGATTTTATTTTAGGACACTGCCAACATTTCCAAGCTTTCATTTAAAAATAAAAAGATACAAACGTGTGTTTCAGCTCTCCTCCACCATGGCGGCGCTGTGGCTCCACTCTGTCTCTCTGCTCGTCTTACTGATCGTATCATTGCCGGCGAGCTCCCAGGCCATGGCCCCCCCGCAGCACCTCTGTGGCGCTCACCTGGTCGACGCCCTCTACCTGGTCTGTGGCGAGAGAGGCTTCTTCTACACCCCCAAGAGAGACGTGGACCCTCTGCTGGGTGAGAACATGACGTCTTTAAACACAGAACCTTTCCATAAACCAGAGCTCAGAGCTCTTACCTTCATCTGTCTCTCAGGTTTCCTTCCTCCGAAGTCGGGCGGAGCTGCAGCCGGCGGCGAGAACGAGGTGGCCGAGTTCGCCTTCAAGGACCAGATGGAGATGATGGTGAAGCGAGGAATCGTGGAGCAGTGCTGCCACAAGCCGTGTAACATCTTTGACCTGCAGAACTACTGCAACTGAACCCTGCTCCTCCTGGAATCCATTAGCCCCCCGACCCATCAGGCCCCCTCACGCCCCGGCCCTTTGCATCAGATGAACGGCACTGCTGTCGTGTCTCTGTCAAATGAAATGCTGAGAAAATGGATGATAATTATTTTTCCTAGAAAATAAAGTTTTGTGAAATCTGAAATATCTGCATCTGTTTTTATAAATTATTTAATTTTTGAATTACTTCGTTTATTGTCATAG